GTCGGCGGCGGCGGCCGTGGTGGGCGCGGCGGGGCTGGCGTCCATCTGCGACTCGGACACGGACCCGCGCGAGCTCGAGGCGTTCGCCGAGCGCTTCAAGCAGCGGCGCATCAAGCTGGGCGTGACGCAGGCCGACGTGGGCTCGGCGCTGGCCAACCTCAAGATCCCGGGCGTGGGCTCGCTCAGCCAGAGCACCATCTGCAGGTTCGAGTCGCTCACGCTCTCGCACAACAACATGATCGCGCTCAAGCCCATCCTGCAGGCGTGGCTCGAGGAGGCCGAGGGCGCGCAGCGCGAGAAAATGAACAAGCCCGAGCTCTTCAACGGCGGCGAGAAGAAGCGCAAGCGGACTTCCATCGCCGCGCCCGAGAAGCGCTCCCTTGAGGCCTACTTCGCGGTGCAACCCCGGCCCTCGTCCGAGAAGATCGCCGCCATCGCCGAGAAACTGGACCTCAAAAAGAACGTGGTGCGGGTGTGGTTTTGCAACCAGAGACAGAAGCAGAAGCGGATGAAATTCTCCGCCACTTACTGAGGGGGGTGGGAGGTGCCGGGCGGGGCAGAGCGTGGAGCTGAAGAGTCTGCTTCCCCCCGGATTGGGAGCGTCCGTTACGTGCTTGCATTTGGGGAGTCCCTCCTCTCCAGCTCTCCTCCGCCCCCTCTTTGCTCTCCCTGCTCTTACCCTCCCCCAGCCTAGAGGACTGGGGTGCTGGTGTGGACACAGGAAAGGATGGCTGTGGATAAGGGGGATCGTTGGGGTGAGCGGGGAGTGGGGGAAGGAAAGCGGAGACTGGAGGAGGGGTTTTGAGGCGCAGGATGGTTCTGGGGGTTAGGGTGGGGGGAGACTCGGGAAGGGTACGGAAAGGGACTGTTTTTGACCAGAGACACTTATCAAAATCTCCTGGGGACCAAGGAACTATGTACAAAAACAAACCTACCAACCACCAAAAACTACACAAATAAAGACAAACTAAAACAAAACAGAACAAAAGCAAAGAAAAAATGCTTTAGAAGTTTTAACTCCGGGGAGCCGTATTCTGCAGCTTCATTTCTCCCCTAAGGAAGAGAAAAAAGAGCACCACCATTATTACCACTGCCCCAACCCTACACACACAAACTGAGTCGAAAACCGAATACCAAACGAACCAGCAGGTGAAATTCTGGGTAGCGAAGCTAGTTGTTCTGTCTGTGTGTTTAATTTAATTTTCCCTCTAAGTCTCACCTCCACCCCATTCATGTCTTCTTTGATTTATTTTTCTCCCTTCCACTGAGACTCCCATGGCTGCTCTCCGTTGCCACAAAGTGAGTCGGGGCACAGCTGAAGGGGGGCGGAGGGGTTGCTGCCTGTTTAGGTGGAGTCCAAGTTTTCCAGTGACCCGGCCTGCACTCCTGTGGCCTGGTCCCCGTCGGGTGGGAGAGTTTAGGGAGAGAGAGGTACAGTCTTTGGGCTGACTAAAAGGCAGAATTTAGGGGCTCCGAAATAAATATTTTATTCCAGGAAAACAAAACAATTTTAACAAGGTTTTTCTCCTTTCATTTTTGCTGTTATATCTAAGATCTAGAAGACAGACTGTTTCAAAATAAGCTTTTTCCCCACCCATAGAACTTGCTTGCCTTTTCATTTATTTTTCTGAGTGTGGTTTATTGTAAACTACCTACTGAATTTTTTTCCTATTGATTCAAGTAGACTGCTGGGGTGGAAGACACTAGGAAAGATACTCTGTCCCGTTTTCTCCACAGAACAAGTTCGATCTTGCTCTTCTAGGTCCCCTTTCCTTCTCTCTTGGAGAACATGAAATCTTTGAAATGTTGAGAAGTTTCTGCTTTCAGTTGGGTCAGGGCTTGGCTTGAGAAAAATCAACTAAATCTCAGATGAGAGGAAGACAGGGTTAAAGCCCTCGGTTTGTTTCAAAAGGGTTTGCATGTTGGGGGGGGGAGGCAGAACAACTGTGTTTCATTATTATTATTATTATTATTATTCAAAAGTAATTTATTGCTGGGGATAAATGTTGGGTAGCAAGAACTTTAATTTGCACTATCAGTCTCCCAAATAGAAAATCATGTATAGTATTTCATAGTAATAATCAAGGTACTTTATGAACTGCTGATGAATAAAAAAATGAGAAAGACAGTTGAAGGTGGTTAGGTAACATGCCTGCTTGGTGCACAAGATACTTTTCTGATCTCTTGTGGAGATGGTTTATTACCATCCTTTTATAAGAACTAAAAAATTGAAAACAACAAATGAGAAAAGAAAAAACCTTCCATATAATAAGACTGAAATCATGCATGTTCTGAAAGGTGCAGAAAGAAACACAATTAGGTCTCACTCTGGTTAGGCATTATTTATTTAATTACGTTGTATATCATTGTTTGCAGCGCAAACATCCTATGCATTTGAAACTGAGCACTATACTGGGCTAGCTTTCTGATAGACCGTTTTGTGGATAGTGTGATTTCACAGTCTACTGCCTGTTTTCACCGAAAACACAACACTCTTGTCCTATTCTTGTATTTAGAGGAAAAGGAAAAAAAGAAGATTATTGTAAATATTTTCTTTAATGCACACACTCACACAGTGGTTACAAACTGCCAGTGTTAATCCTGGAACGTCTCACGGATTGATCTACCTGTCCATGTATGTCTGCTGAACTTTCTTCTAGGTTATGTCCTTGCTCTATTACCTTTCCCCCTACCCACTTCTATCAGAACCATTTTTGTGCGCCAAAATACAACAGGGAGATGTGTCCCAGTACACTTACCAATAAAACATAACTGAAAGAAGAGGAATTTTATGATTTGGGTGCATTTTTGTGTTTATACTGGGCCATGTCCTGGTAGAGCCGGTCAACAATGAGACTCAATTCAACCAAAAATACAGGGAAGGGAAGGATGTTGAAAGGGGGATGAAAAGAGGGGAAAGGGTGAGAATGATGTATTTTTCTGCTGAATCAGAATTCACTTTCAGATAACTCATGTGAAAAGCGGTGCTCTGAATAAAATGAATTCTATATTAGTTGCCTGTGTTCATTAAAGTTTTTTCTTCTTTTATTTTTTTAACTGCAGAAACTCTTAAACCACAGCCCTCACTTCAGAGTGGTGGAAGGTAATAAATAACCAGGCACCCTCAAAATATTTAAATCGAGGTTCAGGGACAGAGGCATTTGGAGGTTTATATGTGTTGTTCTGGCCTAAAGACGTTTCTAAAAAAGGTTATAACTAATTGACTTTTCTTTGGAGGCTAACAAATATAAAAACCATCCACTGATCTGTCCTGCCACCATGTCAGATGCCTCTGTTCATTTGGAACATTTAGTATGCCACCTACTGCTCCAGAGGGACCAGAGATTCTTTATTTCTTGGTGACCTGGGACACGATCAGATGCTGAAACGTACAAAGTTTCTTTATTGCTGGGATTAGATCTTCTGAAGTCCTCCTATTTTAGCCAAATCTTTTTAATTTCACTGGCAAATCTGTGAAACAAAACACTTGATGTTCAAAAAAGAATAGTACATTTAAAAAGCTCTGATTTAAAACAGTTGTTAATGTTTAAAAAAAAGCACTAGAGGTATTTTTAAAAATAGATCTCTTCCATCGAAATTGATTTGTTTCTGTTATTGACTTGAAATGTCATCAAAGTTTTTAATAAAATGCATTTGTAAAAAAAACACATTATTTTATAGAAAAGTATGACCGGATTTCATTATTGGAGAACCAGGAATGGACAAATAAAAAGATTTACAAAGGCTGTTTTTTAAAAAAATCTGCCCCAAACGGAAATGTTACAGGCAAATACATTTGTATTATACAATGATGACCAATGTATGTGATAAGAACTTATGCATTTGTTTTGTATTCAGTAATATCCTTACCAAATAAAAAGACAATATTATGTTAATAAAACAGATGAGAATACATGCTTTGCAGAGTTTCCTATTTTATGCAGTAGGAAACTGTGCAAAACAAGAAATGCTTTGCTATCTGGTGAGTGAATCTTTGTGCTGCAGGAAGAAATAGTAAGACTATTCTAAGACACCTGTAACTGTCAATCGGTGAAGAAACAAGCAAGCAAACAACTGTCCTCCTGAAGAGAGTGCAAAGGCTTGCCATTCGGAGACAGTTGGCCTTTCAAAGTTTTCTGGTTCTGAAGAGCGGAACTTCACTCTAAACGGATTCTGCCACCAGTCAGTGGGTGGAAATAGCAAAATATGTGGCTCCGGCTCTTTTAAAGAATAATCTCAAAATAAGTTGGTGAGATAACTGTGTTCCGTTTGCATTTCAGCTTCTCAGGAAATTCAGGCTGTGGTGGCGTAGGAAAGGCAAAAGAAAAATAAGCATAAATGAACCTGCCACGTTTATGCCATGCATTCGTTTTAAGTTTTTCTTTTCCCCAGTCCTAGCTCTGGGTCCTGCTCCTTCTGTAGGTATAAGAAATGATGTCCTCAAGACACATCAAATAACTTGTGAATAGATTTTTGTTTAATGCGTGTTCTGAAATTGCTCTCAACTTCGATTACACTCTCATAAATAAACCGTAGGCACCCACTGCCGTGATTGTATCGATTTTTACTTTCTTGTGATATGAAGAGTACCTGGGTCGCGTTCCTACACGTGGCCGCGCCGACCGAGGACAGGGCACCATAACTCCAGGATTCACTGGTGCATCTCCTACCCTCGGCCCCCTGCCCTGTTGCCCCGCCTCTGCTACCAACCCTGCGTAAAGCATCCCAACTCCATCTTTCACGTGGATGAGCTTTAATAGTCTAGTCCGTGAAGTTGGAATTGTGACTTCTGACCCTAGCTCAAAGCGTTTTCTACCCCATTAGATGGCCTTGGTGGCCAGCGGGATGATAAAAGTGGTGACCACAATTATTATCCGGCACGGTTCTGCTTATCGGTGCTATTGCCGCCGCAGTCTTAGCCCCACGATGAGAGCCACGCGGTCCTCACGGGCGATTTCAAAGGAGACCGCAAGCTTAATTGATTTTTTAAAAATAGCGGCCGAATTCTAATTCTCACGGGTGGTCTCTTTTCCACCTGCGAGATAAGCCTTGTCGCAATAATTACGTTATTTAATATTTGATCAAACCTTCGCGCCACCGTGGCTGGCGGCGCCGGGCGGGCTCACGCCCTCCGGGGCAGCGGGCGAGCGGCGCGGCCCGAGCAGGGCCGGGCACGTGCGGCGGGGGCGCGCGGCCGCCCCGCTCGGGTGGGCTTGCCTGTTGAATAATTCATGGCTTGAGAGTTCTCGAAATTAATAAAATGAATGATAACAAGAAGCTAATTAAAAACTTTCGTAATTGTTGTCAGTCAGCTTGATGGGAGACGGGCAGCCCTCCCTCCCCACCTCCCACCTCCCCGAAAGTTGGTGGATCTGTTGGGCGGGGCGCGGTCCTGGAAGGGCCTGGAAACTGGAGCGGCCAAGCGCTCTTCGGACTCCGGGAGTTATTTCGGAGGCGGCCTCGTGGGACTGCTCCCTTCCCTCCAGCCGCCGCTGACTGCAGCTCGCTTGGCTTGACTTCGCTTCTGACCCCGGCTTGACTTCGGGGCGGGTGGGTTGGCGGGTGCTGTTTCAAACCACAGGCAGAGCTGATTGGGTCAGAATTTGAAGCCAGGAGGGGACCTGCCCTCCCACGACCCATGCAAGGTTCTCGCTCTCCGATGGAAACACCCACCCACCCAAGGCAGTCGCGCGGAGAATCCCAGCGCCCCAAGCGCGCGAGCCGCGGCCAAGCGACCGCGATGCGCCGGGTCTGCGCCCCTCCGCCGCCCGCCTGGAGACTTCCAGCTGCCGGAGGCCGCAGCGCCTCTGGGACAGCAGGACGGCCACAGCCGGCCCCGGCCACAAATTGCCCAGAGCGCTGAGGACTCGAGCGGGTCAAAGACCCGAGGTCCGGGCGTCCCGCGCGTGCGCCGGGGTGGCCGGCAGGACGCAGACGGCGGGGAGCGCGCGGCGGACGGCGCGCCCACGGAGCGCGCGGGGAGCGCGCCGAGCCCGCACATGCGCGTTGCGTGCGCCGAGTCCCCACGGAAAGGTGAGCCGGAGTTCCGCAGCTGGTAATTAGGCGCTCACGGAGGTCCTCTCTCACCCTGTAAGTGCCCTTGAGGACGTCCTGAGAGAAAAGGGAATGGACCAGTATCTCCCAGAGGTTAAAAATAATCTCCTCCCCACAGTTTGCCTAAGTCAATAGACAGCTTAAACACCGCAAAACTTTCAAAACTGGTTTACATTGTTGGAAA